TGTATCACTGATCTCTGACCAGCTGCTGGTGACTGTGTACAGTGAACACGATGCTGTGTATTTGTATTTGTCCCTGTTGTGGGAACAGAAAGGATGATCTTATTTAAATCAGTCCTTGTTTGCTGTTAGCTCTATAGCTTTGAGCAAAGCCACACGCAAATTAAAATTGTTCCTTGTTCAGGCACAATGTGTGGCTTCCTCTCACAGTCCAAAGACATGCAGATTGGGTTTACAGTGTTTGTAGGTTGGCACTGTGGTGGACTGGCGGTCTGTCCAGGGTGTTTCCCGCTTCTCGCCCCAAGTCAGCTGGGGTTTATTCCAGCTCTTCTCGCCATCCTCAAAAGCCTAAGAGGTATAGATGATGGATGAATGGATGGATGTTAGTATTGTAAGTTGTTTTTTAAAGACTAATACTAATACTAAATACTAATATTACAGGGGAACTTCAGGGGCCAACCAGATGTCAGCTGTGGCCAGTGTGCCCCCCTGGCCTTGTCTCTGGATCCGGCCCTGTTTGCTTTAAAAAAAACCTTTTATCTGAATTCAGGTGGCTTTATTTTTCCATGCTTTGCAGTTTAAAAATATTTGACTGTTTTTTATGTATCATGTTTAACTTTATTTTATTGCCAATTAATTACGTTTATCCATTGGTCTTACTGCTCTTGTGTTATCTCACGTTTTACTTACTGGGTTTTGTTTCAGATCTTTTTTCCACTATCAATTTTCAGTTTTTATGTTAATTTAATGTATATTCATTGATATGAAGCATTTGAGTTGCATTTCATGTATGGAAGGTGCATATAACACAATTTATTATTAGTAATAATAATGAAATAATATGTATAAAAATAAGTGTAGCCTGATGGGACAGACATCTGATTTTGTTTGTCTTGACATCATAAATCCAGTTTTAGCTATTTTTTGCTAAACTTTTCTTGCATAAATATTGAAATTGAAAAGTATTGTAAAACCAATTTTTAAACAATATAAATTCAGCTAGATGGTTTTAGTACAATACATAAATACTGTCATTTCAGTAAATATTTTCAGTATTTAAATGTCAACATTTAGTACTTCCAAACCAAATCAGCAATGAAAAGACATTTGGTCTTCAATTGTCACCTGAAATTTACACCTATTTGCCATTTCTTTTTTGAAAAACAGAGGCATCTTGTGGTGACAATGGAAACAGGTTTAAGACCCAAATAAAACTCAAACAAAGCTTTAAAGTAATACAAAAATATTTCTTTTTATTATGACAGAACTGAACAAAAACGTGACACAAAATGCAGTTTATAAAATACAGAGCTCTGAGGCATGTCTGTCTTGTTCCAAAGTGAATGTGACCAACAATAGCTTAAAGTCTAACTGACTTTCTGGTCTGATGAGCTGTTCGAGTACGAGTACGCCTTTCCCAGGACTATTCTGTCTCGCAGAAGTTTGAAGAAGGCGTAGTAGTTGCTGAAAAGGATCAGAGCCAGCGATATTGTCTGATGCCACTTCTCTGAGCATATCAGTGAGTATAGCTGGTAGAATATCATAGCCCCTTCCAGGATGATGAGTATGTTCAGTATTCGTAAAGGCTTGTTGAAGAAGAACTAAGGGAAGAAAACAGGATGCAGTCAGTAATATCTTCCTCTTTAAAACAGCATAAATATTTTACAAATGGGCTATGTGAATACAGGTACTATGAAATTTCTGGAACTGTGTGCAGACATGCACACAACTCTGCACTTTTCCTGAAATTGTGGCTATATGTGAAAATGTAAATGTCTGCGTCAGTTTCTTCCAACACTTTCTGGAACCATTCCTTTGAGCCCCCTAGTAAAATGTCCTGAAAATGTCAGAGTGAGCCTATGGGAGAATACAGCAGGAAAATGTCCAGAAAATTCACAGCAATTGAGTGGACCTGTAAAAAACATCTTATGATGGATGCGAAATTGATTAAAAAAAACAAATACAATACAAATATCTCAGGATGAAAAAGACAAATATGTCAATTTGGAGAGACAACATTCAAGATTCTTGATAAGAAAGCCTGATGGTGGTGTCAATGTTCTTTAAACAAAAAATGTGCAATTTCTGCAGCAGCAGAATTTATGTCATGTTCTGCCTCCTACATGCTGTACTCGGGCACCACCCATCGCCTGAATATCCCGACCAATTTCCTGCTGCATTCTTCATACGTGAAAGGCAAACTCTATGAACCGACTCAATTTTCCAGGATTCATGTCTGAAAACTTCTTTGTTGCTGTTCATGTAGGAATACTCACATAGAAGCGATAATGGGACACATCTGATGGAACTGCAACGTTATAGTGGCCCATGGCCTTGTACACATTCTTGTTATGTTTGACCAGAACTCCCTGTGGCCACATGTACTCCTCTGTCCAGCTGTATGAAATATCGTAGAAGAGTGAGATTGGAATTTGACAAAAATTGAATCCAGTAAAAACTAACAAGCAGTACGTACATGTGTTGAAGGACATTGGAGCAGAGTGAGGGATCTACTTTCTGCCAGCAGCCCAGGTGAGCTGCAGCTTTGTGAAGCAGGTCACAGTATCGAGGAGGCAACAAGTGCCTCATGAGGATTACTGACGTGCTGAGTGACACCAGGATGAACATTTCACAAGACCAGCGCTTGTCCACGTACTGTGTGCTCTGAAGGAAAATATACAGGTTTGAAGATTTACACTTGGTACATTCAGTGGCGCACAGCTCAAGTGTACTGAATGATAACGTTGCACAGGTTCTCACCTTCACAAACCAGACGGGTACAAAGGCCACGTAGTAAGCGCTGAGCATTGAGCTGACCAGCACCTCCTTCATCCTCCAGTTGAAGTCCATCTTCAGGTACTCCACCTCCTTTCGGATGAGGTCCGGGGAGAGGCAGCAAGCATGTGTTGGCATGGCCTGGACGCCATACAGCTGGCTGGTGTGCTGCTTCCATGTCTCCTTCAGCACGGTCAGGTAGTCCCTGCCCCGGCCCACCTCCTTGGAGCCAATGCTTGCAATGGGCGAGAGCGGCCCTGCCCTCCGGAAATCACAGTTCAGCCGGAAGAACGGAATATACATACCAAACCTGTGGGAAACAATGACACAGCTTTTACTGGAACTAAGGCAGTCACTAAGTCATAAGTCATAACCCCAAGGCAGTGTTTCAACTGAAGGCTGCACTAAAATGTCCAAACATGAAGCATAACACATGAAATCATAATGATCCTCTTCCATCATGGAGCCGGTAAAAGCTTCTTTGTTTTTCCTGAAGTTACTCACGGGTAACAGAGGAAGAGCAGGCTGAGGACAGAATAGGTTCTGAACAGGTAAATGAGGGAGCGGCACAAGCTCCAGCCCGTCAGCGTTAGCACAGCAAACCGAGCCATCACTAAAAAGATCGAGTGGGGGAAGGAGAGTTTCCCACTCTGCGATGCCTGAAGGAGAGAAGAAGAAGGAAAAGCTAGGAGTTTGACATATTACACCTTAATGAATCATAGAGAAGCAAACTCTTTCAAAACAAGAATTCCTGAAATCAGAGTTGATAATGTGGACTAGCAAACACTGTGTAAAGATCTGTTTAGCTTTTATTCCCATATGCTAATCACAGAGATTGAGATTGAATATTAGGCTTCAAGAACCACACTGTGAGGAGCAATAAATACTTCAATAGTCAAAAAAATAATTCTTACTTCTTTAACAATCGCTGCAATTAACCTCCTTGCCAGGATGATGATTGTGAACACCAGCATGTTATAGTCAATGAGGTGAAAATTCTGTAAATAACAAGAATGATTTAGGATTATTGCTTTTACTGTCCACAAGCATTAAAACAGCATTCTCATATGAGCCACTTTACATCATTAACATAGATAAGTACTGTATAATAACACAACATACAGCAAAACAAACAGATTCTCACAGATACGGCCTACACAGATTCTCTGGTAGGCCGTATAAAGACTAAAACAACTGATTAATCACAGCTATAATAACCGTAAGTCAACACCACTCACCAGTGACGTGTGTGAGGGAGGGTGAGAAGGGGGGTACCACCACACAGTCTTGTAGATGTTGACATAGTGGACAAACAGACCAACAAGGTGGCAGAAGAAAAGATGGAGTTCGAACAGCACGTTACAATCCACAGACAACTCTGGGATCTTGCAGTGCTTCAGAGGAACCACTGTCTGAGCGGCCAGGGGTGGGCTGGACATGCACGTTCCAGACCCATTCCTGCAGACGGGACAGAGGGCAAAGAAAATCTTGATGAATGCCATTATGAAGTATTATTGTCATGATGCAGCCCAGATGAGTGTGATCAGGGGCCTGACTTACCTCGTACGTGATCGCACCCCAGTTACCGGGGAACTGGTGGAGTGGTTGCCGTTACTGACCGAGCCTGGTTCACCGCTCAGCGGTGGTCTGCAGTATGTGGTGCGGTTTGCCCCTCGCCTTCCACCAGCCATCGCAGACACACCCACAGCTCACTTCTCTCGGCTGTGTGTCTGACTTAGTCGGTTTCTCTTCTCTTCTTTCTCTCCTATTTATAAGAAGGGAGCAGATGAGACACAAAAAATGCAGAAAGGAATATCAAAAATTTGGAAAAGATAGTCCTATCAGACATTTTACATATTAAAGCGACAAAAAGGGAATAGTGAAATTAACACTCAGTAAATGTAATAAATAAATAAAAAATACAATCCAAACACGAGGGACTATAAAAGAAATATGTTAAGTGTAAAGAAATATAAACAGTATTGCACATTTGTGATATTGAAAATGCATGAGCAGAAAAATGATAATTTACACAGAAATATTAGTTGAAAAACTTGGTGAGCTATGCATATATTAAGTGCATGTGGTCTACTGAGAGCAGTGCTGGTTGTTTAACAGCAGCAGGAAGTAATGTCCTGCCATACCTCTCGGTCTGACACTTAGGGTGGATCAGTCTGTCACTGTTGGGCCAGTCTGACCCGTTTGCTGTGGTGGTGTCCTGCATGAGCTTTCTCATAGATAAGACAGCTTAGCTCTCATTCTCCTCTGTCTCACCAACTACACTGGGCCAAGGGGGTATCCCAGGACCAAGCTGGTCTTCCTAATGGGTCTGTCCAGTCTCCTCTTGTCAGGAGCTGAAATGCTGCAGCCCCAGCAGATCAAAGAAGATGGCTGATGCCACCACAGTCATCACCTCATTCTCCTCAGCAGATTCAGTTTTCTCTGACCCTTCTGATAATGATCAGTCAGGTTTATTGTTCAGGTGAACACCCAGGTACTGGCAGAAACTATTGCTGAAAGCCCCGAGCATATCATAATTAAAGAGAATGCATAACTTGTAAGGTAGATTTTACTGACACAGCATCAGTGCTGAGAGGATCATTTGAGCCAGTGGTTGGATGTGACACAGCCAGTGACACAAGGAGTGGTGCACAGAGTCAAAACAAACAAGCAGGCCAATGCTTCCTGGAAGTCTCAGCCTCGAATCGAAACAAACATCACCCACATAAATATGCAGCACTTGCATGTTGCGCTAAATAACTTTGCACCGAATGCGTTGCAATCCCAAATATGGTGCAAGGTTTGCGGAAGCTGACATTACAAAGCTAGCTTCCGTGCTACACCATTAGCTCACTTCCCGATGCAAATGTCTCCTCAGGCCGTTTAGCATCTGAGACATGAGGCAGCAGAGGAACACATCGTGGGCCTGTACAATGACTGTGGGACCCCGGGGTGTCCGCAGAGACCACGCTCCGACACACACAGAGATTGAGGCCTAGGCTAACAGCGGGCTAGCAGCATCGCCAGCTAGCTTGTTAGCACGGACGCTAACTAGCGTCCAACACAACCGACCAAACAAGCGACGAGAAAATGCGAGCTTACCGGCGGCAGCGTCTGTGGTCAGTCAGCTGCTGCTCTGTCGCATAGGTGAGGGTTTAAAGGCGATCAGTTTCCGCCATGTTCATTGAAATAGGAGCGTGTTTTGCACTGAAATTGGCGAGGACACCCATTGTTGATGTGAAAGTGTCTGCTGCTGCTGGATGGGGGCGCGGATATGTTAGCAACCTGTGGGAGGAGAGAGTCATTTAAAGGAACAATCCGCCATAACAGGGAGGAGAAAGAAGTCCGTGTTTATGGTGGGAAAATGTATTTACACGTGTTCGTGTTTGGCTTGAATGCAGCTGCAGGATCGAAACGTTTTTTTAAACACCAGGAAACAAATTGTGCATGTGTGCACGTGTCTGCTTTGGTGAGTGGAAACCTGCTTGTTACCACCTGAGCACTGTTTGTCGTTAAAGCCCCGTAAAGAAACTTTCAGTGGAGGTTTTACTGTTGCTCAAGGTTTATCATCCACTCAGCTGCACATAAAGACACTTGCACACATGGGAACACTGAACCCTGCAGTGTAACAGGATCTCTGGACTGTGCTTATGCCAAAGTCAAATGCAGTATATACAATAGACTAAGTATTGATTATGTGTGTATATATAATTTTAATTTATGGGTTAATACCTGCTGAAGACAGTCCAAAGACCCTGTGTATCACTGCAGGGTTTAGGTACTGACAAGCATTAACTCACTCATTATATACAGTACATCCATTATATTATACTGCCTACTATAAATGCCAGTGAAATGTATTAAAACTTTTTAAGTTTGGAAATGCATTGAAATGCATAGTCAAATGAAGCCCAGGTTTGGGTATGGTAATTAGTTCTACTGGGAATCAATACCTGCTTCTAATCTGTAATCTCCTGACAGTACATTGTTTTAAGAACTATAACTGTAATTAACATAAATACCCATGTCCTTGATCTATAAAGAATATTAGTCAACCCCCCCCCCCCCATCTTTAGGAGTTTCCTTTGGTAAATCTCACTCCATTACCAACGACTGTACTTGAAAATTGACAAAAATAAAATAGACAATATCCAAGAAAGGACTGAAATCCCATAGGTAGTTGTCCAATTTATCCTGAAGAAAACCTTCATTTGATATTAAAAAAAAACATCCTGCTCATCTTTACTGTGATCTAATCATATGTACAAGTAAATGAAAACACAATTTACATTGAAAAAAACAACTTTATTTTCCTTTTCTTCAGACAAAATACTAGATCACCAAATGTCTTCAGTATAAAAATATTGTCAATCTGGAAACATTCAATAAAAAAGGGTCAAATGGCACACGATCAATGTTCATAAAAAAAAGCTTGTAATCAGTGCTGAAGCAATAAAAACAGTATTTTCTCAGTGAAGGAGAAATCTCTGCAGACAAATCCCTCATGGGATCAGTACTGATAAGAGGTGATCAGCCTCAAACTTCCCGGCCTCTGCTCTTTCCAGGGAATTTCAATGAACCTGTTGGAAACAGAAGATATAAATCAGTTTGACAGAAAAAAAAAAAAAATCAAGATTAAAATTCATCTGTAATTTCTTCCCAGCTCACCTGAAAGATCTTGGCTAGCTGGAGTCTTTTTTGCCTCAAATGCACCTTCAAAGTTCTGTGACAACCTAAGAGGAGAAACAGAGATGAGATCTTGGACCAACCAGTGCCGACATGCACACAATAGACAACACGCATGCAAGACTATTTTTTACGCTACACAAGTATCATGCAACTCAAGCTGAAGGGTCGATTTTGTCCACCAATGGGATGTTTTAATCGCTTTAAGTGCAACTACTAATTTTCATTAATCTACATTCTACAGAAATAATCAAGATGGAAATCATTAAGTATTGAGTGAAATGAAAGGACCATTATCGGTTTTATTGGAGCAAGAGTTGCATCACAACCATTTCTGATTGTTTTTTTACGGCTTATTTTGCTCGGAATAACTACTAATAGCATAATTTTGTAATTCAATGGTTTTGATGTTTTGGATGACTTGCATTACTTGGATGTTTTGCACAGAAAACAATACAAAAATCTAACAAATGAGTGTTGGGGTTAGTTTTACCTTCTTGTGGCGATCTTTAGGCTTTTAGAATCCTCTCCATTGCGATTTTTTTCTTTTTTTAAAACCAGCCAGCATGACTTTGCATCAAAGTCAAGTAAGATCCCTGCAAGCTTGATTTGAAATACTGTTGAAATTCAGTTATTTCAAGTGGCTGAAGATGCATTGCTCTCGAGAGCTTGAAGAGATAACTAACTAAAGGTTAATGACAATACATATTAAAGCACTATATCATTGTCAAGGCAAACATGTATTTGGCAGCACATTACCTCAATGAATGAAGAGCTCCATTTTTATTTCTGACATTACAAGTGCCATTTAGATAATTTTGAAAAACAGACGAAGAGGATAAGTTCATTAGCAAAACACTGCTTTTTTTTTGTTTTTTGATTTTAAATCAGGCTGACGTGTATACATACAGCTTATTCAGTTGTTGAGAAACCACTGAGGACCACTTTCACAAACTGAAGGCATTCCTTTGGTACAACAAAGGCAAAATACCATATTTAGATTGATTAAAAAGAAACTAGAAACTTTATTGAAACACGCACTGCAGAAAAACATTTTGGGATATATTTAGGATCCTATTTAGCCAAAGGGTACACAAGCATTATGCATTTTGGAGACGGCACGGCTTAATGCATACACAGTTGTCTTTAGATTATGTACATAGTATTGAGTTGGCTGCAGCCTTCCTTACACAGAGTAAGGATTGTTAATCCTTCAAGCTTTACAAGAACTATTGTAACATCAGTGATCATTTTGCAAGGAAAAGCCTGACAGATGTTAATATACCAATTGTAAGAAATGGCAAAAAAATAGAGGCATTTCTCTTTGTCAAATGGATTTCAACAGGATAGTTTATATCTTCACACAATTATAGATTTGTATTGCCGTATAAACACCGAATAAGACTTTTGTATTTATTCCAAGTGGCTCAGGGCTGTGTTTGAGTTTGCAAATAGATCTATTCTAGTTAATGTTAAGTTACATTGAGGCATTATGATCCATTTTTGTCCTGTCATTAGGACTTTTAACATGCAGCCTATGTGAAAAGAGTTTATCGCCACAATCACTGAAACTGAAAATTAACCATCAAATATCACTAAAACGTCACTTGTTCCTTTGAGGTTTATGTCACTAGGAGCTTAACTTGAAACTACGCAACTGAAACAAACATTAAATGGAAGCAGATAAACAATGAAAATAACTTGCATTCGTGTTTCTCCCCTGACAGTCTATGTTACAACCACCAAAACATCCGAGTTTAAAAACAAAAAACTAAAATAAAGCATAAAAAAGACGAGAGGAAAATTACTTTTGAAAAGTTAAGCGATTTACAATCGGAGACAGTTGCCGAAGCAACTCTCTACCAGTAGCCGTTCAGTATCTTCCATATGGGTGCTCTCTATATGATCCCTTCGACTGCCTGGATTGGGGAACTTTGCCTCCTGCCCCGGAGTTGGACCATGAGTTATCCCAATCTTCTTGAGCTGCAAAGACAAGAAAGAAAAAAAAAGAAGAACAAAAAAAACATGTGAGTGCGGGTAGACAAGAAGTATAATAATACCCATGGGCATTTCTTGCGAAGAGTGTTCTATTGGATGACAAATTTAAATACTTACTATAAGGCTCGTAGGATGAATCCTGGGCCTCCCCGTGACCATAATCAAAATATTCAGTATCGCTGAGCACAGATTGCAAAGAAGTGTTAGCACAATACAATATACATAGCACTAGATTAAATGAGGAGTTAGATATTTAAGATCTATTATCACTTACGCAGGTGCAGACTGTTGATTGTAATAATTATCATATCCTTCATAGGATGGCTCTGCGTAGGAGTCGTCATATGAAGGCTACAAGGAAAAAAAGTAAGGCTTTGTTAAGCACACTGCACAGAGCAAAAGACAAGTACCATTTATTGAGCAACAATTTAACATAAAAACCACAAAACGGCAGATTTTAAAAAACTTACATAGTCCTCATAGCCGTCAGCTTTAGGTTGTGCTCCCGAAGAGGGAACTTGGTGTTGCTGGTGGGTCATGCCAGCTGATGGGAGCATTCTTGGTGCCCCAGCTGCAGGTGGCCTAGACCGGGGAGCTGAGCCTCCTCTGTTAGGAGCAGAAGGTGGACCCCCCCTACCAGAAGGTGCACCCCTAGGAGCATTGCCCCTTCCGAGTCCTCCCCGTGGAGCTCCGCCACGCATTGCTCCTCGGGGGCCCCCACGTGGCATTCCACGTCCCCTGTGAAATGTTTGCCAGGTGTTAATGTGTTCGAATGGAGAAAACTGAATAAACACCATATAATTGAGGATCAGATCTTCTGATGCTTTACTCGATTAAACAGGCTTATTGAGATTATTCAATCTCTATCAGTTGGTTACTACAACATGCTGTGGCAGATTGTCTTTATGAATCTGGATCCTACCTTGGTCCAGCACCAGGGGGTCCACCTCTGCCCCTTCCAGGATGACCACCTCGTCCCCTGCCTGACCCATCCTGGGATCCATTCAGGAAGTGAGGATCCATATACGGGTCATGCTCACCAGGTTCCTACAGAAATGACAGTGTCAATTACTCCTGAAATTCCCCTGAACAAGTCATGGAGGAAACACTTTGTACATCTGGAAAGTAAATCAATAGGTTGTTATAAATACTTACAGGAATAAGGAACTTCTTGACCTCCTCCATGGCGTGTGCCATGCGCATATAGGCCTCTGGGATGGGTGCCATCACCTCAATGAACACATGCAGCTCCATGCTCAGGTGGGCATATTTAGCCTCACCGCCCTTCCTCAGCTCCTCCTCCTGTCAAACACATTAAAGGCAATTTAATATGAATACACAAAACATCAGTCACAGGATCAATACGTGTAAACATTCTACACAGTTGTGCAGGGAGTAAAACAAATACCTTATTCTTGTCCCTCATTGAGCCTTTGCCCAGAACTGAAATCTTTGCACCAGTGTCCTCCTGCAGTCTCTTGATTGTGCTACCCTGAGGTCCCAAAAGCTTACCAACGAAGTTCACCTGTCGGGCGGAAAAATTGCAGCATTAGATGAGATTTGTTATTATCACAGGGAGAGGAGCAAAACTAAATATATGGGCAGGCTTAAGTACTATCCTTGTCAACAAGAATACACATTAAACTTGACTACTGCAAAAATCGAACTCACGTGGTTCCAAAACCACACACATAAACAAACAGCTTTAAATGTGCCAACAACCCCCTCAGCATTAGTCTCTTTGTGTAGCTGTGGATCAAGCTAAACTTGGAATACTCCCAGGAAGCCCTGTTTTGGTTGTGTTGACACAGGTTTGTTGGAGTACCTGGTTTATGTCACCACAGGAACAGTCAAGACAGAAAAGCTAATGGCTGAAAGAGTGCTTATCATACATGCATAACAAATTATGTTGCTGATTGAAATTTAATGTCAGAGTAGTTCCATATAAAAATGTGCCTGGACACAGTTTAATTAGGTGGGTGTACCTGAAAACGTGCAGGAGCCCCCCCCCCCCCCATATGACATGAAGACAGACATGAATCAAATTCAAGGTAAATGCTCACCCTGGGGTACTGCTTGGTGGGAATGAGTACTCGCTCCTTCAGTTTGAGATTCTTGGTTGCAAACAGGTCAAGGTAAGTTTCCTTCTCTGGCTCCTTCTTGGTTTCACCCTTCTGGATCCTCTCAATTTCTGCAGATGAGAAATGGTTTCAATGAAATGGAGGGGGATGTAAAAGTACAATGGCTACCCGTTCCTCAGCAAAAATAATATATTCTGTGTTAGACCAAAACAGATACCAGTAGCAGCTTTCAAATCACTAAACGATGCCTGTTTAAAATCGTGTGCATTATAGAAGAAATATCGCCCACACTGAGTATTTGTCTTTTGCGTATTTATGCTATCATACAAGTAGTAAATGTGCGATTAGAAAAATCGTGCTTTGCAAAACTGGGTCTTGTTCACTGTAGCGAACTGAAGCCATTCAATGAGCCATTGTGTTAATGATATGCAGGAGCGTTACGTAACAAAAGAGACTGTAGCACACGTAAATACAGGTTTTTAAATGTTCTTCAATGGGTCAAAACCCCGGTGAGTTCACAACCAGACACGTTTGAACGAGGAGCGTTTGCCCCACGTCACTGATATGCACGTGTTTGAGCGCCATTGTTCATGCCGCTGTCTGCTGCAGGGCCCCGGCCAACAAGTAACTAGGCCACGAGACGTGCTACATCTAGCTAGCCCGACTGGAAATAGCTCCTGCATTTACTTTACCTGCAGAAATGAGCTTCATGGCGTGAGTGAACGATGAATCCAGGCTGTCCTTCTCAGCCAGGAGCTCCGGCAGATACTTGGTGTCTTCCATTTTGGCTTTCTTCGGTGCTGGGCTTGACTCTATGGCGGACTCGGTGATGCAACTGTTAGCATCCGCTGGGTTCATAATGCACAGGCGCGGCGAGATCGAGCGAACGAAGCCTCGCTGGGTTCGTTGGCTTGGTCTTCTAGCGGAGCTGCGGTCGGGCAGATAACGGAGATGCGGGTGGCGATGAAGGATCTCGTCGCACAAACCTCCGGACGCCTCCCGGTCACAAGACGCTCAGCTCGGGTGAATGGACAAAGGAGAGATGGCGCAGCTGCATATGAGCGTGAGGAGAGGAAGTGCTGCTGGCGAGGACAGTGACGTCACCACCGGGGAGCAACACGGCGCCGATATTTCATTTTATTGTCATTAACCTGATTTCTTAGTATGTGTGTTTTTCAATAAAACAACCAAACCCTGACCCCTGCTTCTATAACTTCCTTACACCTTATAACGTATCCTTCTGATGTACTCCTGCTTCTACACAAGTATTTATTTTCACCTTTATTTTATTATCATTTAGACAAAACTGAAAGGACAGTTGATTATAATCTGTTTACTTTCTTATCAGTGGGTTACTTTAGTCAGCATAGTGATCGCAGTGAGCTCAAATAGTTTAATACTGCTTTATAATTATCAAGAATTAATACAACTCAATCTGCCTTAGTCAGGCAGTGAGACCATCAGCTGACCTGGAAAAAAGAGTACATTAATAATGATGCATAAATTGAATAATTGTATTTAATTTCAAAGTCATTCAGAATCATTCAACCTGTAGAAACACTAGCTTTTACAGCTGGTCAAATGTCACTGGAGCCTTCAATTAGATATTTGCCGCCTCAGATCACTGGATGTGTGCTCAGTAGCTCTAAAACAAATTCCCATTAAACTTGAGAATGACATGAATAAACTACTTTCAAAAAATATATTTTTGTTGTTTCAGATTAATTTAATATTTTTAACATCTTTTAATATCTTTGTTGCTGTAAATGCTGTTTGCATTTCAGCATTCACACTGAGTTCAATAAAACCTACTGTCATCTTAGACTCCTAGAAACAAGAAGTTTCCAATATTTTTTTCAAAACTAGCATCATATATTATAGCTTCTCTTTACGCATATGTCCTCAAAATGACTCCACATCCACAAAATGTTAAAAAGTGAGATTTTATTTTAAAGCCCCAGGGACCAAGTTATCAATCCCAGACGAATAATAAACATTTTCTTTCAAGCTTTTCATCAATTAGAATTTGCACAAACACAGCAAGTTAAACTTCCCCGTTTGTATTAAAGTTATGTGATAATTAAATAATATATCAAATGATATACATCAGTGTCATATAATTAATCTGTAAACTGACAGATAAAGTTCAGCAGTCCACTCCAGATGTAGAAAACTATTTACAAGTCAATAACCAGTGCCTTGGATAAAAAAGCCACTTAAATTGGCTGTGTCGCTCTTCCAGTTAAATGGGACCAGAAGTGTGATATTTCCTCAGCAGTTCTTGTCAGATATCAATAATGACAAATATGTCTGGTTTTTCTTTATCATGGATCTGCATGGCGGAGTATGTGATGGCTTTGACCTCTGTTCCCTGGAATGAAAACATAGGACATAACAAGTAGATGCACTGAATTAATGGACATTTCATTAAGTCCACACAATTATTTCACTGTTTCACCGGCTTACCTGTGGATGCTTTTCCAGAGAGAATTCTTCACCCCACCTTTCAACAAAAGATAAATTAGGTTGTGAGAGGACTGTTCCACGGGGGAAATTAAAAGTAGATGGACTGTGTAAATGTTAGGACTTCCTTCTATAAAGGAATTCATTGACTTCAATGAGTCCTGTGTTTGAGTGATTAGTGACGCTTTTCTTATAAATCAAAGAGACACTCAAACTCAAAAGGTGTTTAGTTTGTCCAGTTTGGTCAACTGTAAAAAACATGGAGGCCTCAGTAGAGAGGACCAGCTCCTGATGTAAATAAAAAGTATTCAAATATAAAGGTAGGTATAAAGGTTTATATTCAATTTCTGCCAATAGATCCTTTTCACCTGAACTACAGATGATAGACAAAATGGTTTAAACACTCAGCGATAGTGACCATAAAATCTTACGATCTTCAGTCACACTTATAAACACTGTTACCAATGTGGGCCATATCAGACTGAATGACAGGGAATAGTATTTGTAAGCTGTTAAAATCTGACAAACAGAAATCTGATATGCAAATTTGCAAAGTAAAATTAGACTAACAAAGCTCTTAAGAGCCCTGATGTTATTTAGGAACCAGTAACCAGTCTTACCCAATGGAGCGGATCCTGAAGCGCATTCTGTCTATGTGCAATACTTTGATCTCCTGTTGAGAGAATAACAAGAGGAATGAAACGATTACTACAAAATTAAGACAGAAATAAAAAAAACAATTTCTAGACTATGGATTGGGAGGTAATGCTGATACCAGTATGAGGGAGTGAAAAATATCTGACAAAACGGCCAATACAGATTTAAAATAAAAAGAATTAGCAGTTGTTATCAAACCCTTATGACAAAGAAATGTAATCGAGGTTGATGTTTTACAGTTCAACCATAAATTGATCATTTATAACCCTAAAGAGGAAAATGAATGCAACCATAAACGTCTATGAAAGGCTCATATCAAGAGATGTGATTATCAATATAACTGATATCAATCTGGCTCAATTTTCACAGTTTATTCAATGACAAACAACCAATTACATGTTTTTAGAAAATAATGCTCTGTAGTTTAGAATAACTGGAGGTTTGGTTGTAGTTTGCACTAGCACATGTTGCCAGTACCAAAAGCACACTAAGACAGCCTTTTGCCATTGTGGGTTTCAGTGTCTAATCTGTTTGACATACATGACACATGGGTCAACATACTCACCCTGGGAACAAAGAAGAGATCTGCACTAAACTTGTATAACCAGTCATCTAGGAAATGGAAGAGCAGAGACTCCATATCGTCACCTTTAGAGTAGACACAATAAGAGAGAGAGAGAGGGGTAAACATACAGTTTAATGACAGCACCACTGATAGAAAACAGTATGACTGAGGCTTGAATTCCCACCCTCTGACTCCACATCCACTGTATCAATAGGTTCCACTGTCTCTGTGTCTGTCATGTATCCGAACATGCCCATGGCACACTGCTCGAAGGCCTCTTCCAGAGTGTTTCCCCAGGAGTGAATTCTGGGAAGACAAAATGTATGTTACGACGAGAATGACCACCACAGAACTTGAAAGGAAATATGAATATATGATAAGAGAAATCAGAAGCACACTCACTGTACATCTGCTGTATGATCCAAATCTGTGGAATCATACACATGCAAACATGATCACACATAGGAAGTTGATTTCTCACTATTACTATTATCTAACTCGATGCAATCGGCAATATGTACAATGTACCCACAGCTGTTTTAATATGCAATATACTTCTATTTACAGTTAACAGAAGCAATTTACACTGTATGCTTAATGCTGTTTTTTCTACCTCGTTGATGCAAGTGTACATTACACATGCAGTTTTATCATGTGCAATAAACTCATAAATACAGAGTTGTGTGAGTAATGTACACTAAATGCTGCTTTTAAAGTTATTTTACTTTGTACCTATTTGTACTGACTCTGTTTGCTGTATTGTCAGTCAGGTGCAACGACATTTCATTCAACTGCGCACTTAGGTGCTGTTTCGTTTTTGAATGAGAAACAAAGTATTTTGTAAGTTATTATACCAACTTAGAGCAAAAGAGTAAAACATCCAGACTGTTCGTGACGTTTGTCAAACGGTTAATACAACTAAACACAAACTTTAGACGTGTGTCGGTCACTGTGTTTACAAGTACACAAGTAGCTGGGCTCCATTATTCAGACTTACATTCATACTTCTTGTTGATCGGTGGGTATTTAGACTTGACGGCTGTCTGAGCCTGTGTCAGGTCTAATTGACGGTCGTCCATTGTGGCTGTAAATTGGTTTAAAGTCTGAACATGCGAACATTAAGTGCGATCGTCACCATGTCGCCCCTACAATCAGCGAGCAACTTCCGGGTGTAGCAATGTGTCGCTGTGTCTACTTCCTGTCGGCTCTGCTGAGCGCTGATTGGCTGGCGGCGATCTATGGAGTTGGCGCCATCGCGGTCCTTCGTGCTGTCTCCGGAGCTCTTTCCTCCCAGAAAACACTGTTTTCGCAACAGGGCTCTGTGGCAACGCCAGCGGCGAAACTGCGACGCAATGGCAGATAAAGACGGTAGGAGTGTTGCTGAGATCCTTGTCTGAGTGTGTGTGTTCCGTTCAGGGTGACAGAGAGGAAGAGTCCGGGGCGGAGCGGTGGTTGTCGGCGCGCCGGGGCCAGCATCTCCCTTCATTGTTAGGGACCAGCCAGCTAGCTGCAGCTAGGGTTCACTGCTAGCAGGCTGGGGGCTTTAATTCACGAGTGTCGGGTAACTGACTGAAGTTCTGCTCAGGATCCAACTCACAGGCTAATTATGATTTAATTTGTGTTATTGCTAACTCCTGCTATTTGGGGTAACGTTATCTTTTTAGTAAAGAAACCAGTGCTGCTTGTTAATGTTGGTTTAACAAGGAAAGTACATGAACTTCACTCCACTGTCTTCAGCTCTGCTCAGGTCGAAGCTTTGTATTGACAGGTGTGTGTTGCTGTTGTTTGACAG